GTCGGCTCCGCCATCCCCCTGCTCACCCTCATGCAGCCCAGGACAGCCAATGCAGCCAGCGTCAGCTCCGTGCAGTCGCCGGCACCCCAATCGCTGCCATCCACTCATCCCTCGCGTGGCACCGCGACCGGTGCGACTCCAGCGTCCTCCCGTCCCCATCGCCATCCTGCTGCTCCACGCCATCAACGTCGTCGCAGTCGTGGTGCTCCCTCGCTGCCATCGCGGCAGTCGTCGAGTGCACCACCACCAACAGCGCCCCGCCACGCACACAGGCAGCATTCCTCACCATGCCGCGGCCTGCCATGTGCGGGCAGGCAAACCCGACAGCATGGGCCATCAGGTGCGCGGCGATGCGGGTGGCGAGGCGTCCGTGAAACAAAGCGGCCGGGCAATGTTCATGGCGCCAGCGACGGGACGGCCATCCTCCAGCGTGGCGCACGGCAGTGCCCACACACCACCCGGCGCAGCAGCCACGTACTGCACTGTGTCAGAATTGGCAGCACCAGCGGAACAATGCTCAGCAGGCACAGTGAACCGACTGCAAACACTGCCCGTGGCGAGTGACGGCACAACCAACGAACCCTCCAGTGGCTGCACGAGCAGACGATCCGCATGCAGTTTGACAGCAGCAGGGACAACCTCCTCGGCAACAGCGTTCCCGTGCGCAGACGACACAACACCATTCATGCAGCCAAACGCGCCGTCCAATGCATTCGCTGCGCAACACCAGGAGAAGCCGCAGCGCCTCCTGCTGCCACACGGGTCCGTCGTTGGCGCCTTGATGCGGGCGGGCACCCATCGGTCCCTCCAAACGACGCTGCACACCTGCAACGCATCCTGCGCTCCGAGAGGCACGTCTCCCACCACACCCGGGGACGCCCACACGCCGCCGGCACGCACCGCATCGTCAAGGAAACAGGGATACGTCAGGATGACAGCAGGACACCCGCCGGCAATTCACATCGCAGGCATCATCACAAGCAGCAGCAGCACTGCAGGCCGCGGGGCGACGTGGATCAACCGACGCATGGCGCATGTGGAAGAAAAAACGTAATGGCCTGACGAGGATGCAAGAGGCTGACACCTCTACAAAATGAATGAAACGGTGTGAGAACACGCAGAGGAAATTTAAACGCCCGCAGTCAATGCAAGCCACTGATAAAAGGGTGGAATGAGTGCACTCAACCACAACACGAGCAGAGACTCAAAGAAGAAAACAAAAAACAAAAAAAAGAAAAAACAAGAAGCCGAAGCGTGGGACGACCAGCACACACACTCTCATTGCTCCCGTAAAGCAAAACACACACACACAGGGAGAGAGAGAGAGGTCGCCCACTCAATGCAATAAAAACAAAACAGAAACAGTTACGGTGCTCCGCCCATGCAGCCAAGCAGGACGGCAGCGGTGCGCGTGGCTCAAAAGAGAGAACCAACGGGCCTGCATGGGTGTGCATTCATAAATACGTGAACACATTATGTGTGTGCTTATTAGGCTGAGGTGAGAGCGAGAGTCCATGCAAGTGGACACACACACACAGAGAGAGAAGGACGAGTGTGTGTGCGGGCGGTGCACGGCTCTCTCACACTCACTCTCACGCGGCCACCACCGCAGCCGCAGCCGCACACGCAACAAGAAGAAGCAGAAGAGGGGAGGTGGAGTGGGAGGCCGCGGTGCTGCCGTCACTCTCGTCAGGCGTCCTCGTGGCACTTGTTTGAGCGGCAGTGACTGTTGCTGTTGGTGGTGGTGATGATAGTGGTGTTGGTGTTTCTGTTCCTCCCTCTCCAGGCTTGTTTAATTCTGGTGTACCTTCGCCTGCGGTTCCTTCCGGTTGACCCAAACCACTTTCCTCCAAAGTTTGGTCCTGCCTCCCAGAGGAACCACCGGCATTCGGTTGGCCAGTCCCAGTCCCGCTCTGAGCGGTATTCTTCTGTAGGGCGGCTTCTTTGTGTTTAATTGCTTTTCTTTTTTCTTCGCAAAAAGTAGCGTTGAGGGAAGCATTACAGTATACACCGTATGCGCCGTAATAATATTCATTCAACGATTCGCCGTCGCTGCCAAAATCCCACGCGTAGCCACCGCCGGCACCGCACCACAGCACGCAGAGGGCACACACCAGCAGCACACGGCCAGTCATCATCGCCATCACTCCCGTCACTTGCGTGCAGCCTTAAGCACAAACTAACTCCACGTCAACGCAGAGTCAAAGCAAAGAGAGACACGTCAAACAGCCACGCACCGTCCCATCCAGCAATGAGAGTCATGCACAAAAACAATTGGGTGAGCGCCGCTCAAAAACAATCAAACCAGAAAAAAAAAAAAAGAAGTGCTCCTCGCCCGTGCACCGTCCCTCACACCCCCACAGTTACTATTACCGTTATTCTCTCTCCGCAGTCCCTCACCAGCACGCCACGCTCACCTCAACACACGCCCCTCCAGCACAGGCCTCAGGATCGTCGGGCCCTCCCAGCACAGGCAGTCCGTCATGCACTCCCGCTGCGCCGCGACGTCAGCGACCTCCTCCCAGTCAAACAGCTCCGTGTCCTCCACATCCTCACAACCGCCGGCATGACACCGCCACACAACACCCACAGCGCCACAACGTCGTGCCGCCTCTCCTCCCCAATCATGGGTGCAACACCGAACGCGTACCTGCGCACGTGCTCCATGCGCTGGAACCACCCGCGGATCAGGTTGGCCGTCATGAACTGCATCTTGTTGTCCTCCTTGTGCTTGGGGAAGACCCTCACATCCTCTCGATCCACGGCC